TGGTGGGTGGCTCACACGGGGGCTTCCTGTCATGCCACCTCATCGGGCAGTTCCCCGATACCTACCGTGCCTGCGTGGTCCGCAACCCCGTGGTGAACATCGCCTCCTTGCTCACCGTCACTGACATTCCTGACTGGTGAGTGCTGCAGCCCCCCGCTTCCCTCAGCCCCGGCACCGCACGTCCCCCTGCCTCTCACCCGCAGGTGCCTGACGGAGATGGGAGTACCCTACGTGCCCAATAACCTCCCAGACTCAGCCCACTTGACAGTGATGCTGCAGAAGTCACCCATGTCCTACATCAATCAGGTACATCCCTGTCCCGTCCCATCCCCTGTACCGGCCTGCAGCACTGCAGCTGAGTCTGTGCCCTTCCTGCAGGTCCGCACGCCTGTACTGCTGATGCTGGGGGAGGACGACAAGCGCGTTCCCCCTGTGCAGGGGCTGGAGTATTACCGTGCCCTGAAGGCCCGTGGCGTGCCCACACGGTGAGTGGGATGCAGGCATTGGGATGTGGGCTGTGGGCACAGCGCTGAGCCCTCTCTCCCTGCAGGTTGCTCTGGTACCCCAAGAACAACCACGCGCTGGCCGGCGTCGAGGCCGAAGCCGACAGCTTCATGAACATCGTGCTGTGGCTGCTCCAGCACCTGCAGGGCTGAGAGCCCCCGGCACCATCACCCCCCAATAAATGTTGTTGAGCACTTGGACTCTGCGGTGGTTCTGTGGTTGGCCTCCGCTGCCCCTGGGGCTCGTGACCGCAGGCGGAGGTTGGGCAGAGCCTGCTGCCAGCTCCCAGCACCCTTCCTGGCTCTGGCCCCGGCGGGCTGCTCATGCACCCTGGCACCCTGCCCACGCTGAGCCACGGCCGGCTGAGCACGGAGCAGCCCCATGGCCTCGGGGACGCAGCGGGGCGCGGGGAGCTGGGGGCAACCGGCGGAGGGGCAGCGGAGCAGCCCTGGTGCCTGCTACAGGGAGCTGAGCCGCTTCCCTGCCCTCAGCTGTGCCGCGCTGGGGGCCACTGCGGGGGGACAGGGACAGGGACAGGGACAGGCCTTCCTGCTGCACACCGGTGAGTCAGGCCCCGCGGCCCCGCTGCGCTGTGCCCGGGCTGGTGCTGACATCCCCGTCCTGCAGAGTGCCGGCAGCCCGACCTGCCCCGCCGGCGGCTCCTGCGCTTCAGCCGCCACTACAGCGTTCAGCGCACGGAGCGCGGCCTCGCCATCAGCCGGGCTGCGCTCAGCACGGAGATCCACAACCGGTACGGCTCGTGGCCAGCCTCTGGGATGGGGCGGCGCGGGGCGTTCTGTTCTGTACCCTCCACGGCTCCCTACCGCTTGCAGGCTGCTCGGCCAGGATTCACCCTCGGGGCAGCGCCGCGCCGTGCTTGTCCGCTGCCCACCGCAGGGCCACGAGCTGCTGGAGGTAATGCGGTGCCGGGGGCGCGCCGGGGAGCCGGGTGCAATGGGCACGGTGCAACCGGTGAACCTGCTTCACCCAGGTGTGGGATGGCAGAGGGCGCAGCCACTGCGTGGATCTGACAGCACAGGGGAAGCACGGGGCGGTCTACACAGAGGGTAAGGACCCCTCCCCAAATCCTCCTCTGCACGGCTGAGGGTGGCACAGCCGCGGTGCCCGGCTGCCCCCGCACCGTGGAGCGCTTTGGCAGCCTGTGCCTGCGGCAGGGCCATTTGCCTGCCTGGCCTGGTCCCATTTGGAGACGCAGCTGCTCTATGTGGCTGAGAGGAGCCGGCCCACGCTACCTGCAGCCTGCCCAGGGCATGTGCCAGGGGCAGCCGGGCCAGCAGAGGATGAGGATGAGGAGGTGGGTGGTGAGTATGTGAGTATACACTGCACATGGTGAGCATGCTGTGCACCCCGTGAGCATGCCATGTGTCCTGTGAGCATGCCCCACAAATGGTGAGTGTGCCTTGATTCCTGTGAGTGTGCCAGATGGGCAGTGAGTGTGCCATGTGCACACTGAGCGTGCCATGCTCCCTGTGAGCATGCTGCAGGGCGAGCAGTTCGTGTACCACGAGGGCTGGGGAGAGAAGCTGAGCACTTGCAGTACCCCTGTGCTCTGCATACTGGATATCAAGAGCAGCAGTGTCTCAGTGCTGGAAAGTGTCCCTGAGCACGTGTCCCCTGGCCAGGTCAGTACTGGGAGGTAGGTGGGGCAGCTGTGGGATCAGGCTGAGGCACAGACCTGAGTCTGGCTGTCCTACAGGCATTGTGGTCCCCAGGTGACACTGGTGTGGTGTTTGTGGGCTGGTGGCACAAGCCCTTCCGCCTGGGGCTGAGCGCTTGCTCCAACAGGAGGTGAGCCCCAGTGCCTCCCATGCCCACTCACTGCCTGCATGGCACAGGCATGGAGCTCTGACCCAAGCATTCCTCCTCCCCAGGTCGGGTGTTTTCCACCTGGAGCTGGCCGGCGGGCATTGCGGTGAGTACTGGGACACAGAGGACCGTGAGCTCCTGGCTGTCCCCAGGCACTGACCCACTGCCCGCAGAGCTGCTGTCTGCCCCTAACCGTGCCTCCTTCTCACCCCGGCTGAGCCCGGACGGTCAGCACCTGCTCTACTTGGAAGGGGCCGTGGGAGGGCCCCACCGGCAGTGTCTGCAGCTGCGCCTGGTGAGCAGAATCCTGCATGCTGGGCCACCCATCCCACACTGGGCAGGTCCCCAGTGTCTGTTTTGGTCTCCGAGTCCCCGTGCCTCAGTTTCCCCTTTGGGCTCGGCTCCCCCCAGCTCACCTGGCAGACGCGACAGACGGTGACGGTGCTCGACGTGGTGCAAGAGCCCACGGGCAGTGAGAGCTGTAAGGCTGGGTGCTGCTGGGGGATCGGACCATCACACTGAGTGCCACCAGCCCAACTCCTCAACACTCTGTCCCACTCACAGCCTTCACTGGAATCTACACCGATGCGCTGCCGCTGCAGTGCTGGGCAGCTGACAGCCGGCGGGCGCTGCTGTGCACCCCACAGCGGAGCCGCACGGTGAGCTGGGGCATGGGGACAGGGCACAGCCATGGCACAGCCCCCGTGTGACGCTGTCCCCACACAGGACCTGCTGCTGGTGGACACAGAAACTTCCACCATCACCAACCTCACTGCCGGTACGTGGCACCCGGCTGCTCGCGTCACTTTGGTGAGCAGGATGAGCAGTGGGAACTGTGAGTGTGCCGCTGTCCCCAGGGTCACCAGAGGGGTGCTGGGAGCTGCTGACCATCCAGTGGGACCTGCTGGTGGCCACCTGCTCAGCCCCACACCGCCCACCCAGCCTGGTGAGCAGAGCACCATGCAGTACTGGCACCGTGCGAGGTGCTGGTGATACCCCACTATGGAATAGGAGTACCTGATGCCACCCGCTGCCTGTCCCCAGGTGATGGCGGAGCTGCCACCGTTGGGCCAGGAGCTGCCCCTGCGTTGGGTGCCGGTGGAGGACACCCCACCAGTTCCTGGCATCACCTGGAAAACGCTGACAGTCCAGCAAAACTCTGCTCCACACAGTGAGTATGTGGGGGCCCAGCAGTGCCTGGGTGCACAGGGTTATCTGTGGCACTGGGTGCTGAGTGGGGCCCCTCCAAGGTGCAGGTCCCCAGACCTTCGAGGCCCTGCTGCTGAGCCCAACAGGTGGCACCACTCCGCACCCCCTCGTTGTGTGTCCCCACGGTGAGTGAGGGCCAGGGGGACATCCTGATGGTGCTGGTGGCACTCAGGTAACATCCCCGCTATGCCCAGGCGGCCCTCACGCCGTCTTCGATGCCCGCTGGCGCCCAAGCATGGCTGCGCTGTGTCAGCTGGGCTTCGCCGTGCTGCTGGGTGAGTGATGGGGACTTCAGTGCTGCGTGTCCCCTGTGCCACACCGGGATGCGGCCTCCACCAACCCCATCTCTGCAGTGAATTACCGTGGCTCTCTGGGCTTTGGGCAGGCAAGCATTGAGTGTCTGCAGTCCCGTGTGGGTGAGCAGGATGTGGCTGACACACAGGTGAGGAGCAGCAAACAGGTGCTGACGGTGGGGTGCTGACGGTGGGGGTGCTGATGGTGGGGTGCCCATGCCCACAGCTGGCAGTGGAGCAGGCGCTGCGCTATGAGCCCCTCGACCCGCACCGCGTGGCACTGCTAGCTGGCTCCCATGGAGCCTTCATTGCCCTCCACCTCCTCACCCGTCAGCCTGAGCGCTACCGGGCGTGCGCCCTGCGCAACCCTGTCTCCAACCTTCCTGCACTGCTGGGCACATCCGACATCCCCGATTGGTGAGAGCCACCCATCCCACCCCGTGCCATCCCGCACCACGCTGTGCCATGTCACCCACCACTGCCTCCCTCCCGCAGGCGCTACGCATCCCTGGGGCTGCCCTACTCCTTCCAGCGGGTGCCCCGCGCGGAGGACCTGGTTGTCATGCTGCAGCGCTCGCCCATCATCCAGGCAGCCCAGGTATGGTGCAGTGGGATGGGTGCAGGGGTGCAGGGGCAGGAACCAGGTGCTCACCACCATCTGTGTCACAGGTGCGGGCACCAGTGCTGCTATGTGTGGGTGCCCGGGACCGGCGTGTCAGCCCCACGCAGGCGCTGGAGCTGTACCGAGTGCTGCGGGCCTGCGGGGTGCCAACCCAGTGAGTGCAGTGTGGAGCCGGGGTTAAGTGGGCATGGAACCCTGCAGTGCTGGCTAAGCATCTCCTGCCCTGCAGGCTGTTGTGGTACCCTGAGGGTGGCCATGCACTGACCGGCGTGGAGACAGAAGCCGATGTTTTTGGGAACTGCGCCCGCTGGCTCCTCCAGCACTTGGGGCAGCTCCCAGTGGAACAGCACAGCCCCTAAAGCTCATGGTAGCCCCACGGCTGTGCTGGCCTCCGGGTGACCACGGGTCCTGGAGATGGTCAGAACTGATTGAGCACAGCAAAGGTGCAGGATAGGGATGGGGATTTGGGTTCAGCTCTAAATAAATGTGTGATGCCCTATGCAGTGCTGTCCCCCGTATCTTGGCCACACAGATGCACACACAGGCTGGCTCCACTGCCTTTATTGGGACTGGGGGCTGGGCGGGGAGGTGCCACCTGCAGCACAGCTCACACCATCCTCATGACCTTGTGGATCCAGTCGACGTAGAGTGAGACGCGGATGAAGAGGGCAGGCTGGTCAGTGCGGGCGCAGACACGGGATGGGGTGATCACCCCCTCCAGCACCCAGCAGTCGGCAGTCAGACAGGCCAGGGGCCCACCATAATCTCCCTGTAGGGCCGAGAGAGTACCATCACCCCTATGCTGTGGGGTGAGCCTACCTGGCCCCCTGGACCCTGCTCACCTCGCAGGCACCCACACCAGCACGCAGCGGGGCTGTGCACAGCTCGCTCTCCTTCAGGCGCCCACGCAGCTCTGCCTGGCACTCAGCATGTGCCATCACTGGCAGCTTTGCCACATTCAGCACGTGGCCATCCGTTGTGCCTGCAGGGACAGGACAGCAGCAAGGCATGTATGGGTGTGGGAGGGAGGTGGGTGAGGGGTGCCATGGGTAGGGGATGCCATGGGTAGGAGAATGCGATGACGTGGGCAGGGGATGGCATGGGCAGGGAGATGACATCAAGGAGGGTTGCTGTGGACAGTGGACATGGGTAGGGGGACGTCATGACGCTGGGCGTGCTGTGGAAGGAATTGCTGTATATAGGGGATGCCATCGCAGTGGGACACTGGTGGGGCTGCCCATGGCAGTACCTCTGGTTTCCCCAAAGCCAGCAATCTCACAGGTGGTGCCAGCAGGCACAACGTAGCGCTCGGGCGGCAGGCAGATCAGGGCCACACGCGTATTCAGCACAGCTGGTCTGTAGAGGGACGGAGCAGCATGGGGATGTGGTGCCAGCCCATGGAGCTGGGGCACAGGGCACCACATGCAGACACTCACCTCGCCAGCTTCAACAGCACCAGGTGGGACTCAGAGGGGCCGCAGATGATGCGTACAATGGGGATGGCCTGCAGGTTGGGGTCGGTGGGGCTGGGGTCCTTGAACAGCGTCCCCAGGTGCACCTCATAGCCTGACAGGTCCGCATCACTGTGGAACAAGGCCATCAGGGTATGGCAGCTGCCGGCACCCTGCACCCTGCCCCTTGAGCTCACCAGGAGGAGAAGCACTGCCGTGTGCTGATCACCCATTGCTCCTTCACGAGCGACCCACCGCAGAAGTGCACGCCGGCCCTGCAGGCATGGGGACAGGTAGGGGTGGGTACCCAGCTGGCAGCACAGCACGGCTGGAACATGGGGTGCCTGCTCACCGGTTGCGGATGCTGACGGTCCACGGCGAGTTGCCAGGCATCCCGCCCACCACACGGTGCTTCTGCTGCAGCCTCTCATCCCGCCGGCCACACTCCTCGAATTTCACTGCATCTGTGGGCACAGCAATCGTTGGCTGGGGGCACCGCACCGAGCACCCACCGCCCCATGTCCCCGTGTCCTCACCTGCACTCTCCAGGACAGATGGCACAGCGCTGCCAGCTGCAGAGAGACAGCAGAGTGGGGCTGTGGCAGGAGGCCCGACGCACCCTGTGGGGCAGCCAGGGCTCGGTGGGGCCAAGCTCACAGCAGGGCTTGATGGCGCAGTAGTCAAAGGGTGTGCGTGGATCCATGGTGTAGCACCAGGGGCCGTGGCTGTCGTCATCGGGGTTGCGGCAGTAGTTCTCCTCCAGGTGTGCCTCAGGGTGGGTGGCGGGCGACATCCTGCCAGCCGTGAGCCACCATTACTGCCCCCATTCCCATTGCTGTGCATCACCCTGTCACGCTTGCGGCACACTCACTGTGGCACATGAGGTGTCGTGGCATCCCACTTCTGGCACGTGATGCCCTTGCGCGTCTTACTGACGTGGCCGTGGTACTGCTCGCCGTGGCCGTGGTAGCACTCTGGGGACAGGCAGGGGGAGCTGATACTGCTGGTGGGCACCCCGGTGGGGCACTCATGTGGCGGGGGCTCACCTTGTGCTTTCAGCTCGTCGTCACAGCGGCGGATGTGGAAGCAGAAGGCGACGCGCATGCCGGGGCGGGTGGTGAAGCACCACGGGGCCTCTGAGCCATCGGGGTTGCGGCAGTAGTTCTCCTGCAGGTCCCTGGTGGAGTGGCAGCATGGGTGCCTGCACACCTGGGTGCTGCCGCAGCCCCCCATCCCACCAGCCCTACTTGCAGGGGTACTTGCTGGGCACAAAGTGGTGCCGGTGGGGTGTCTGCGCGTCCCAGCGCTGGCAGGGGATGCCCGACACGGTGACGTTCACTCGGCCTCGGTAGCCTTCGCCTTTGCCCCTGTAGCAGCCGGTGGTGACGTTGATGGGTCGCGGGCGTTTCTCTGCTTGTATGGAAGAGAGAGGAGGGGAGAGGGTGGCACCGAGGACACCGGAACCAGAGATGATGCCAGGGCACTTACTGCAGACGCGGATGCGGCAGAACTCGCGCTCCAGCGCCGGGTCAGTGGTGTAGCACCAGGGCCGCTCAGAGCCGTCCGGGTTGCGGCAGTAGTTGTCATCCAGACCCTTCTCAGGGTACCTGGGTGAGAGGCGGGGAGCAGCGGCTGCAGGTGACAGATATCTGCTGCCACCCCCACGGTCACACACCCTGCAACAAGTACTGACTTGTCAGGGTGGTAGGGATGCTTGTGTGGGTGCTGCAAGTCCCAGCGCTGGCACTCGATCCCTGACTCAGTGTAGTCCACAAAGCCCCGGTAATCCTCCCCGTTGCAGGTCATGCAGATGGCTGCCAACAGCCGGAGTTGTCATTGGTAATGGGGATGGGCAGCGCAGGGTGTCCCCGAAGCACAGCACTCACCGTCCTCACACTTTTTGATGCCGCA